TGTATCGCATTACAATGATTTAGCAGTGTTATTTGCAGACACTCCATCATGCCCTACAGAAGGGGGGGGTTGGGTGGTTTGAGTTTATTTTAATTGAATATTGTTTGCTTACAAAAATTATAAGTATAATCAGTTCACAACATAAGATCATAATAAGAGCCCTGATGGATCAGGCTAGCGGCCCCCCAAGCACAGCACCCTGAGGGTCAGACTTGGCAGCTCACAGCCGAACATCTTTGCCGTCGCTCTCAGGCGCCTTGGATCTAGGGCCTTCTGCCTCTGATTCTGGCGGTGGGAAATAGGCATCAGAGGAGTTGTCGCTTACATCGATACCCTCCGTGGGTCCACTGGACTCTTTTTAAAGCCATCCGAACTGGCACGTGTACCAGTTCGCAGATGTGCCATCTGTGTCTGTCCTGTGGAACAGCGTAGCCCCCAAGGTCTTGATGGCCCCAAACACCTGTTTTTTCCCCGGATTCTGGGCCAGGAGGTTCGCTGAACCTGTTTTCAGAAGATTTATTTAAATACTGTGTGAGTGGCCTCAGACGTGATATATTTTTTATTTTTGTTTAGTTGATTTTTTGCTATTTTTAATTGGATGCGTTGCCCCAAGTCACACGGCAAGTGGGCAGCTATACAAATTGAATGAATGAATGAATGAATGAATGAATGAATGAATGAATGAATGAATGAGCATATTTGAACACTGAGTAAATGCCAAGTACAAATGAACACACATACACACACAGCATCTGGAAAACAGTTAAAACGATTCTCAGGAGGAGGACTTTTCTATTAAATTTCTAAGGAGTAGCTCCAAAATTGGCTAATGACTAAATACATTTTGTAGCATTTGGATTTAGATGCTTCATCTAAAAAACAACAACCCTCCGTTGTTTTTGTAAATTATTTGTAGCAAATTTGCTTGGCTTGTCTGCATACAAAGAGGAAGTGAAATTTGGACCTCTGAACTGTCAAGCAAAGTGAAACACTAGTTTTCCTCTTTTGTACAATCATCACATTTAAAAGTAACCAGCAGGCAACTCAAAGGTCAGCAAAAAGTGGCTATTGAAGTAACAATATGCTTACCACCATAATTATTTTTATTAAGCTGTGAAAAATAATTATACCTTAGTTGTGAGTCAACATTCTGCGTGTTCTTAGTAACTGCTTATAAACTGCCGCAGTCCAGGAAGAAGACCGCCTGGGAGGAAAACATAATTAAAATGATAATAGGCCCGATGAGAAGAGAGACTTTTTGCTCATCTTGCCCAAGGGAAGGGTACCTGTTAACAGAAGCTTCAACGCGTAAACAGCACACCACATTTTTTGAAATATTCTTCCATTTGGGAAGGAGCCGTTGCTTTTAAGCCGCAGTAGCATGAAGCAGAACGAAAAACAAAGGAATGGCATTTCTCTAATAATCCCTGACTGCCTAATCTGGTCCTCTACTGCTAGTGTGGCTGAGCTTAGTTCGCACAGCATCTTGTCTACATTAACTAGAAATGAGATTCTTTGAATTTGTATGGCCTAGATTCGGACAATTTAGAGCTAGATGAAATGCTCAGATCTGTGCAGAACTTGGGTTTTGGTTTTTAATCAGCTTACCTTGGTTGTGTAGAGGTGAGAAGACCATTCCATCCACCCTGTGCTCTGCAAAAAAAGCAAAGCTCAGGGCTAGTAGATGCCATTGCAGCGCTTTGATGAAGACCTGGGGAAGAGAGTTCTGTCCAGAATTCAAGGGATCAGCTAAGCTGCGTGGCTGTTCCGCCAGTAGTTTTGCTTTGGGCTCTGGTCTAGGCAAACCATCAACCATTGCTAGCTGTGCTAACTGTCAGAAGGGGTAATGGCAAGAAAATGCATTTAATACTGGAGAGAAATAGGTGGAAATTAAAGTGTATAAAGCAGTTTGTTGCCTTATTTTAGACACAATTGGATTTGCACAATTTTGTGCACTTTACACAGAAGAAGCCACGGCACTCAAAAGATATATTCATCAACGGCTGATTTTTCACGAAAGATAAAATACACTGATTGATCTTTGCTGTTATTAAAATCTTTTTCCGGCCCAGTCACTAAGTGTTCGTTCACAGCAAGACTGATTTGGTGCGTGCTTCTCCTTTGGCACAGAATGCCGTTACAAAGAATGTCATGATGGCCTCACGGCCAAGTAATCTTCGCTTTGCCAGAGTTGCTTTCCTAAGATGCTGCCAGGATGGCTATCTAGCTAATTGTAATTATGCAGACACAACAGTAGATAACCTATTGACTTTTACCTAAATTGATTTACTTTTATGTTTAAGTTATAGTGTTATCTTTCATTATTAGTGGCCTTGAGCATTATTTGTAATGAATACACAATTAATTACATGTTCATTTGTGCTGTGAAATTTTCTTTAGTAGGTGGCAGATCTAGAGATCTCAGCTGAACTTTAAAAAAGGCTAAGCGCAGTCGGGCCTGGGTAGGGTTTGGGTAGGAAAAGATGGTGGCAAACGACTTCCGTATTGCTGCCAAGACGAGTTTGTGGATGTGTCCCATGTGACGGCAGTGAACTTGGTTTGACTTCAAGGAGTCTTTACCTTTTTAAAAAAATACTGAATCATACTTTTTCATTAATTGAACAAGCATCTCCATGATCCTTGCAGTAAGAAAATTGCTGGCATAATTTGGGAAGCCGTCAGCCTTTCTGAATGTCTTCTGCTGGTCAGTTTTGCGTGCCTTGCTTCTTCCTCTGTAGCTGTAGGAGAGGAAGGGGTACTCCACCCTGCCCCCTCCCCAAGCAGGTGATAGCTGTTTCTTAAAATACACAGTGTAATGTATTTTTATCACCATTTTTTCTAATTCCAGTTTAAATTTAAAAAAATAAAAATCCATTAAAAATATTTTTAGCCTTTCCTCGTAGTTTCTAGCCTGTCTGTATTACCCGAAGGCAAACAAAAAAACCCTAGTTCTGACACGCGGTGCTGTGTTGTGCGCTCACGGCCAGTGTGGAAATGCTGAATGCCCGTGGCTGTCTGGCAAGCTATTAAATATATCAGTGTTCTCCCACAGAATTTGGATGATGCAGATCTCAGGTTTTCCTGCTGCCTCACAGTAATTTTTTCCAATATTCGTAATTTGCTATTGTGAAACATGTATTTTCAACTCTGCCTGAAATATTGTGTAATTTAAGAGTTGTTTATCAGTTGATGTGGGGCTTCTGATTTATGGGAAAGAAAATGCTGAGACCAGTTAACATGAACAGCATGATTAATACTGCTTCAGAAAAAATGTGCCTGTTGGGTCCTGTTTTCCTTGGTTGGTCTCAGACAGTTGTTGAAGTCAGATTGTTTGATTGGAATACTGTAACTTTTTTTGCTTTTGAATACGAGTGAAACCTCCTATTATGGGGGAAGTTAAGATAGGAATTAGGTTTGTTGCATCCAAAATCCACTAAATGGGAGCTCCTCAATTTGAGGTTTTGCTGCAGTATTACTGCTTTGCCAAGGAAGTTGGGTTTGACTACCCTAACAAGAAATTTTGGTTCGGCGTTGCAAAGGATGGAGGGTTTAGGCCAGAGCTTCTGAGGTGGGGGGTGACCCCCCAGGAGGGGCAGTCCGGGGGGCAAAAGCCAGAGCCTTACCTAAGTGCCTGCTTAGGGTCTGGAGGGTGGGTTGCCATGTGTGGCACTGGTAGAGTGTCCTTGGCTCACTCCCTCTCTCAGGGGAAGGTGGCAGGTCTCCCTGCAAGGGGGAAGCTGCCTCATTGCCACCCAGGCAGGGGAGACCTCTGGGAAGTACACCACCTCTTCCCAGAACTGGGCCATCCTGGCTGCTAGTGCTGTGGCATTTCCAGCCTGGTGGCCATGACAGTCATCCCAAGCAAGCAGATGTGGGTTCCAGGTCCCTCCATCCCTTGGCCTTGACCTGCGTGCCTTCTGAAATGGGGCTGGTGCCCAAGGACTCTTAACCAGCCCTGCTGGTGTGTGCAGGGCAGGGGTGCAGTAGATGCTGTAGAGTGACTTTTTGGCCCTTTATTTCAGCAGCGCCCCCATAATGGCCCCTCCCACTGCTGGGAGATTCTGCTGTGCTGGTGGGATGGGCAGACTGGACAAGCTTGCAGTCTACCTGTTGACTTGGAGAAAGCTGGGGCATGTGAAGCCAGATTAGAACTTGAGAGCTGGCGTGTCCAGGCAGAGTGGGAAGGAGCCCCAGAGGGTGGCTTCTTCAAGCAAAGCCTGGCACGAGTTCTGGTGACTCATCCTCAGAGCCACACGCCCGGAGCTAGCCCAGCAGCCAAGCCTACATCTTCTGCAGATCCTGCCCTAAGGAGCAGCGTTGGTCCAGAATAGGGGCGGAACAAATAACGTTTCCATGATTTGTTTTATAGAGACTTAGGTCTGATCAAAACAATAAAACCCAAATTTCAGGAATTACGCACCGCTAAGGAAGCTAATTCTCCACATTAAAGTACTGTTTTAAATTTGCCTGTTTTATTGTTTAGTTCCAAAGAAACTTTTTATTTTATAAAGTTCAAGGTTCTATTATTGTTTTGTTTGATGCATAAAGTGTAATTATTAAAAGTAAGCAATCTGTTTATTTCTTAACCAGCCCTAACCCCAAAAGAATAATTGGGTTTGTACCTTTGGGGGGAACCACACAAATTCATTTATTATTTTAGAGAGCGATGGTATGATGAAGTTTAAGAATGCCTGATCTATGTCTTCTCCCCTTAACAGCAGTGGATAAATAGAATTTACTTCAGACAGCAAAATATTCTTGTTCTTGAGAAATATCAGTATGTTTTTCATTGTACGCTATCAAGTGTGTCAAACTGTTGAAGTATTTTTAAGTCTTTTGTCTTCCCCCAAATTATTTACTGCTTTTGTTAACACAAACATTGTGCTGGTTTTTATTTATATTTTATATTCTCTTTTAAATTTAAATTTTAAAATGTCTCATTATGAAATTCTCAGTATATCTAAAAAGGACACTCATTTTTAAGTTTGTTTGCTTTATAGGAAAGGCCTCTGAGAGGAGTCAATTTCCAGTGTTTGCTCGAGACGGGGGGCTCTCAGGCTGTCAGGTAAATGCTGCAATTTAAAACAATGGCCGTTTCAGTGTCAACCAGCGTTGATTAGTCAGCTTGAGAGAGTTAACAAATACAATTATAAATATCGGTGTAAAACTGCTGTCAATGAGTTTATGTTAATGCCAACATTTAAACACTTAATTGCTTTTACAGTAATATCAAAGTTAATCAGTTTTGAACTATTATTATCAAAGTGACTTTGAATGACTTCAGGAATGACTGCAAAAGGCTGTGGCTCCTTTATGAAAATTACTGTGTTTCATAGATTGAACATTGCCACATTTACATGGACAAAATGTCTGAGCTAATGGAATTCACTTTTAATGGCCTTCTAGTGCTACAGAGGATATGGCTTTAAATGCTGCCAATGAAAAGACTCCTAGATTTTCACAATACAGTAGTAATTAGGATTAACAAATTATCTTCATATTTCGAGGCTCTTAGAGTTGTGGCAGAACAGAGTTTGGGCACACATATTTCATGTATTATTTGTTAGATTTCTATCTCATCCTTCCCCCAGAAGCTCAAAGCAGTGTACATGGCACTCCTATTTTTTCTCACAAATATAACTTTGTGGAGCAGATTGGGCTGAGAGAAAATGACTAAAATCTGGTTCTCCCCATTCCTAGACCAACCCCTTTTCCTCAGTAATAGTAATTGATGTTCAAGGCAAAAGAACCAGAAATCCCAAGTATTATGGTATATGTTTTTACCCAAAGATTATTACACTTATTTTTATCCAACTTCAAAGAAATAAAATGAAAAGGTATCAGCGAAGGTCAGCATTTTTCCCTATTTAGTTGCCATTGATTGCATAATTTCATCTATCAAGAAGCTTGCTATATTCTGTGCAAGAAACTCTCTATTCCATGAAGTTAGGTTGACCCCCTACTTCCAGTGTAGAGGTTATTAATGTGTTGGGATTTATAATGAGAGAACATCAGATTGATTGATATTAGAAACACAGAAAAAGGCATAAATGATAGAACATGGGTGGCAGTCTGGCTTCTGGTTCCTACCTGCACTAGGAGTAAGGATCTTGGTCTTGTGGTTGCTGCTTCCATTGCAATTTGTATATGCTAGTCCAGTTTCCTCTATTGAGTTGCTTATATATTTTCACACAATAGTTAAGAGAATCACTCTTCCCAAGGAAATGCATTGAGCTTTGGGTGAAGTCCACAAATGATTGAACATGAATGGGATTTTAATTCACAACATCCACCATTCACATTTGTAAAACTTGAAAGTGGATAATGCTCTCTGTGGTAGACCTCTTTTTTCTGTAATTCATCTTGTTTGTAACACTACTTGGTTTGTATGGGAAGTAACATCAGCTTAGTTGGTTTTCTTTTTGTGCCACCTCAAAACAATCTAGAGTTTCAGACATGTCTTTTCAGTCTGAGAGGCTGAAAATCTGATCAGCTATGATTGGGCAAGAATGTAATGTAAGGACATGGAACAGCCAGGTATACTGGAGTTTTACTTCTATCAGTGCTAAAAGTCTCTGTCAAGGAATATCAGGTTACATTTTCTGGCTTTATTTAGACAAAAAAACCCTCCTCAAGAATTCCTTTGCAAACAGGTTTGCTAGTCTAATGTTCTTTATTCCAAAAAATTGCTAAAATTCAAGTAAGGACAGTATAAAAACCTTGATAGGGACAAACAGTTGTTCAGTGGGATGCTCCCAAATGCTTTGTATTTATAATGTGAATTATGTATTTAACTTGCTTATATATTTTTCTTTAGCTGACTTAAAATATTCTCTTCTATCTCACTATTTTAAACAAATCTTTTAATAAGCTCTTCAGGCACTTGCTTTGTGGGATAAAAATATCTGCCAAAGCAAAATGTTCTGGTTGAGCTGTATATATTTGAAAAATAAGGCTTATAAAAAAAGAACTTGATACATTATTAATTCAGGCATTGATTCTGTGTTCAGCCTGGACTAGCTGTGTGAGAACTATGCTTTATTTTTTTCATATATGCATTTCCTTCTGTAACCTTTTAAATTTCCTCTTGCGCATGCATTTTCAAGTTGCTGCAGATATAGTTAAGAGATTATGAATTGACCATGGAAACATCTCTCTCTGTGTCAAAATCCCCTCTTTTGCTCCCACACTGGCTTTTAAAATAGTTAAAACATTACATATGGAGACATTTAAAGTGGTAAATCTGTTAAATCTATCTTAAATAAATCAAATAAATCACAGTTTGTTTATAGCTAGGATTTAGTGAAATGCTATAAATTCATTTGTAAAACCTGTTTAACACTAACTGTTTTTGGCTAGGTTGTTGTTATACCGTGCTGTGACTAACCTACCTGGGAAATGTATCATAAATAAACATGAAATACAGAGTAGAATGAAACTGTAAAATGAAAAAGACAGCAGCAAGAAAAAAACACTAATAGCAACCCCAACATAAAAAACATCTTAAAACTGAGTGGTCCAAACTGAGAGATGTTAAAGGGCACTGTAAACACAAAGCCCTTTACCTAGTTGTGAAAAGACTGCAGGGTGATGCCAGGTGACCCTCTCTGCAGAGGCAAGTTAATAAGAGAACTGGAAGGCCACTAGAGTTACGGCCCCCCTCCCCCCCAGCTGAGGTTAGGTCACTCCATTCCCTTCTCCAAGGCTCCCTCACATTTTCACTGTCTGTGAAGATGCTAGAGATATTTGGAGAAGATTGTCAGGGAGTCCAGCCCCAAACCTTGGAAGACTTTCAAGATGGAAACCAGCATTTTAACCAGGTTTCAAAAAGGACTTGAAGCTAGTGCAACTGGAAAAACGAGGGGTTAACATGGTCAGCCATCCAGATACAGTAAATAATGGTAGGGTCCTATTTTGGATTGAAGTACAGTTTTCATACTGTTTTAAAAAGAGTTCCACATGTAACATTTTGCAAGAGGATGTAGCTGAACTCTCAGGTAAAGTTGCTCCTAGCATTTTGCTAGAACTGATCAAGGTGCTCATCAAAGGAGTTTTAAATTATAGAGGTCATTTGGAACTCTAAAGACAATATACAACGAAGAAGGATCTCTAGAACTGAAATATCCTTTGGGAGGCCATATGCAACCCTGTTTAAAACAGGCTGGGTGCACAGTCCACCAATTAGTAATAATTCTTCTTTCCGAGTCAAGTTGCAGTTTCTTGGCCTTATCATTGTCGCTTTATTGGTGTCTAACAGTAGTTAACGTCACTGCAAGGAATTTGCATTCAGCAAGGAAGGCACTAAGTGGGATTGAATGATCTTGTGGCCTTCATTTTCTAAACCAAACCAAGAAGCTGTTGTCCTTCACCTGTGTCCACATCAGGCAGGAAGCCCTTGGAGCAGCAGTGCTAAAACTTTTTATCTCAAGCCAGAAACAGTGTCTCTTGATAGACATGACAGGCTGTCTTACAGAAGATTCCTGCCTGGAGGATCAGTCTGAGGTTGGAGCTGACTTGAATTTAATCTTGAGAGTCATCACTGAGCCAAGAGGATGGCAGGTGTTAGGAAGTAGTTGAGGACAAACAAGGAAATGGTCAGTGAGGAATGTTCTTGAATGTCTTGAAAACAAGAAGCTGACAGTATAAACAATGTAAATAATTTTAGCTAATTAAAGTATTCCCTTCCGTAGATAAAAGTTAGTATTAAATATTCTGCATCTATTTTTCCTTGTGATGTTTAATTAGTATGCACTATTGGGGGTCTATTTGTAGTGAATTTATGAATAAGTTGGTTGCTTCCATAGAGAAAGGGTTTTTTTAACCCTGATAAAATTAAGGAATACAGAGAATAATTCAGTGATTCTTGGTTTACATGGTTTGGCTTTACATATTGTAGATACTGGCTGTCCAGTTTGTCAGAGAAACCAGCATTGGTATCCATGCTTCCCTTTTTTTTTTCTTTTGAAAAATAAGTCATGTTATGTTAAAAAAGACATTTTGCAGGATGAGAAGTAAAATACTGAGTTCTCTGTAAGGCTTGTCTCTCTCATTCAGGTATTCTAGGTAATTTAGACAAAGTTCTGATGGAGTTAACGATCAGTGAATAATTGTATTTTTAAAGCTTTCATGTTACACATTTTACATATGTAGTGTTTCATATCTTACCATTTATTTTTGATCTTACAAACAGGAAGAGCAAACGGTCTTTTTATATACTATGATTTTTTTAGCTAATTTAATGTGGATATTTATATTTTTAACTGTGTTTGATATTTTATTTTAATTGTGAGCCACCCAGAATCACCCTCTGGGGGAGATGGGCAGCATATAAATTTAACAAATAAATGAATGTTTTGCTAGTAGGTTGATAGGGCCTCTGTCTCTTCCATTTTTTTCTATAAAATCAAACAAAATCCCAAGATCAATAATCTTATGAACAAGAAGAGCAAACAGGGATTGCATGATAGTTTGTCAGGGAGATGTGCAGGGAAGACTTCAAGCAGCATGGAGCATGAAGGAAGCTTGTGGTAATCTGCGTGGGCTGAACAGTGCTTGTCCTCTTCCCTGAAGAGAACCCAAACCATACCTGATGGAAGTGCAAGTTTGGGTCCTCCTTGGAGAAAGTAAAAGGGTTTTATCAGAGAGTTTCTGTACTAGAGACCACTGGGGAAGATAAGAATTTCTTGAGCAGGATAGGTAAAGCTCCTGAGGAGGGACAGAAAAGGAAAGTGAACCCTGGAAAACATGTGAAGCAGAGAAACAAGAAGATCAGGAGGCACTCAGTGCTGGTAGAACTTAACACTGGACTTAGCCTGTCACTTTTCAAGACAGTCCTCAGCCCTCTGAGCAAGCCCTACCAACCCTGGCTTCATGGAAGAGGGTGGAAGGCCCCCAAAACCTTGAGACCAAGTGGGCCTGTAAGGAACATATTGTAACTAGGCTGGGCAAATCCTCTGAAGGAAGAGGAGCACATACAAAACACCTCCTTTTGACTTGCTAAAGGAACCACTTTTTTCAAAGGCTTGGGTATAAGTTTAGAAAATGGGGCTTCAGTTGCTGGAAGACTTCCGTCGGTCTACACAAATCATTTCATTGAACCAGTCTTCACAGAGAGAGCCCAGACAATTAACTAGTCAAGCGCAAGTATCCTGATAATACAAAGCTTCTTGACTGCTATCAGTATTACTCCTGAGATGAGCGTACACTGTCTCCATCTGATGTCCTCTGGATGGAACAGATCTTAATATTGCTTTTCTGTTGTTTTTGCAAGGCAGTAAAATCAATATGTTGAGTTAATTACATCTGTATTGATTTTAATTTGGTAGTAGTTCATATAAACTTGGCTAATTTTTTTCAAGAGTCAGCAGGACTAGGAAAAAAAACTTACATTTTTTGAGTTAAGTCCTTTTCAGTTAACAGATCCTTCCTTGCTCTGCTACTAAACTAGAAAGTTATCTAAAACTGGCCTAATTCAAAGCACACTAAACCATAATATGTTTGTTTTTCTGTGAACTTAGCTATTATGACTTATAAAACATAGCTTATGGACTAGTACTTTGCACAAACCCTTTGTTTTCCAAAAAGGGTTCTGTAATTTGATATGGATTGCTTCTTTGTGTGAATGAGACTGGCAAACAGCTACGTTTTCATTGAAGGCGATACCACTTCCCACCACTACATAGATATAGTCAAGTATTATTGATAGGCAGAGTGTAGCTCATAACGGAAAGTTATTGTGTCCTGTGCTAAGAATTGCTCCTATATTTAAACTTCCCCCTCAAACAGATGGAAACTACATTGTGATGGCGGCGATAATGGTGGTGGTGGTGATGTATACTTCTTCATTTCTCTAGGAATGCAGGCAGTTTCATTTCCTTTCATTTTATCCCCAGAAAATAAGCCTGCAAGCTGGGCTGAGAACAGCTAGTCCAAAGTCACCAGTGAGTTTCCATGGCTGAAAGTGGGCTTGAACCTGAATCTTCCCAGTCCTTGTGTGAAACCTTGACCGCTACATACATATAGTTTCACCCCTGCATCTTAACCAGTAAATGACACAAAGCTTCAGCACTGGTACTGTTGCCCAATGCAGTATTGCATCAAAGTTCAGTTCCAACATAATATTTATGATCAGGGTATTTTCCTTAAAATATGTAGCTTTCAGGAGAAAAGACCTGGATGCTCTCAACTTCTGGGGAAATAGAGGAAAATGGCAAGAGGATGTAGTTGCATTCTTTCTCTGGTGCAGAGGTTGAGCAAATTGTATGTGTGTCATTCAGGATTTAGTCTGGGAGGACAGGAGAGGAGGAGAGAGGCTGAATCTTTCTGTTCTCTTGGTTGTTTTGTTTCGTTTGCAGACAAGTCTGCTTCGGTCTGACATTGGCCTTGGAAGCCCGGGCCCTGGGCCCTGCTCAGGAAAAGCAGGAACACCGTATTACCCGTTTTCCTCTGCAAATCCACGACGAAGGCCCCTTCACGATTCATCTTCCCTTGGTGAGTCATTTGTGCCATGCCACTTCTTCCCCAGGGAACGCATCTGATTATCGATCTCACTTATCAGACAAAATCCATTTCACTAGATCATTGACTTCGAATGGGAGCAAGTGAGAGGAAGAGGCTGCAGAAGGAAATTGTGCTTCTGTCCCCTGGAGAGTGGAACTTGGTGATAATGGCTCCAACTTGTTCCCTTTGTCCCCCCAGTCAATGTGAATTTCACATAAAATGTTCCAACACGAGAGCCCTATCATGTGTGTCTGTGTAAAGTTTATTCTAGTGTGGATAATAGGGTACATTGCTTGCTTCCTCATCAGATTTAAATTTTCAATTTAATTCTGTAATAATTCAATGTTATTTAATGAATTATTTGGTAAGAAGAGGAATTTGTTATAATTTATACTGAGATGGCACAAGACAAACCTATTTGACACTATTTGGAATGTCTTTTGTTTGATGCTGAAATGCTAAATGCAATTCATTTTAGATGTTAAAAAGTAATTCACCATCTTCTCAGGGTAAAAAAAAATAATAATTTGGTCCCCTACTATGAAGGGCTTTATAGGTAGTTATCAGCATCTTGGATTGAACTTGGAAGCACACTGGCAACCAGTGCAGCTTGAAGAGTGGAGATGTAATATGCACCAGACGAGGAGTGCACATAACTGCCCGCGGCCCTGCATTTCACACCACCTGCAGCTTTGGGATGCTCTTAGGGATGCCCCATGTAAAGTGCATTGCAGTAGTCCAGCCAGGAGGTGGCTAAGGTATGAGTGACTGTGAGCAGAGCCTCTCGGCCTAGGAATAGGCACAATTGGCATACAACACAAAGCTGTGCCACAGCTCTTTGAACAGGAGCTGTGAATCCAGGAGAGCCCCCAAGTTGCGCACAGATTCTGTTTGGGGCAGTGCAGTCCTGTCCAGAGCTAACAATGGAAGATCCCTGAACCTGGAGACCCTAAAACCCAGAGCTGCTCAGTCTTGCTGGGGTTGATCTGAAGCCCATTCTTCCACATCCAGACTCCCGCCGTCTCCAGACACCGAGGCAGAGCCTCCACAGCATTGCAGGGGTTGGCCAGGGTGGAGATATAAAGCTGGGTGTCATCAGCGTTCTAATGGTACCTCGCCCCATGCTGTTGAATGACCTCACCCAGCAGCTTCAAGTAGAGGTTAAACTGTATGCTTCTGATTTCTGAGTTCCTTTTGCACTGTGTTGTGTCATTTTACCAATTTGCTTTGGTATTGCTACTTTTTCCTGTTAATGAAGCTTTTTTTTTCTGTGCAGATTCTCTGCAGACAAAAAAAGTAAGGAAGGTGCCCCCTGGTTTGCCTTCTTCTGTAAGTCCTGGAGCTTTTTAACCTTTTAATTAAAAACAGTCTGCTATATATCTAGCCATGGTTAACTTTTATTTCTTGGTCATAAAGAATCAAGCTGATAGCTAGCTTATGAGCAAGTAAGCAGAAGAATTAAAAAATAAAACCGGAGTGCAATCCTGTGGCATGTATGCACAAGGAAAAAGGGTTGGGTGCATGTGTTGCCTTAGGTCTGAGCAGGGAAAGAGGATTCCAGAGAGACCTGTGAATACCCAGAGGGGAGAGGGAGCACGCTCCTGAGTGGAGAGGATGCACATGAAACAAACTCAAAATTAAGAACAAAGGGCTTTGCTGTGGTAACTCAGAGATCTGTAGCCAGAGTCAAAGTAAGGGACAGGTCCCTGGTCTAGTTGTCCCGTTAAGTGTGTGATTTTTAGATCTGGTAGCAGTGATTTGTGGAACTTCCATTCACTTTTACCTGCTAGTTCCTGTAATGTACGGGGAGAATAGTGGGCCAGGAACTATCTCTTGATACATGTCTTTTCATGTTTAATTAGTCATTATATTACTGAACAGGAGGACAGAGATTAATAGCAGAGAATTGTAGAAATTTACATTGCTGACGATCCCAGTGGTATTGAAGACATTATGATTCGATTGGTAGGACGTGTACAGCTCAGCTTGCTTCAATAGGACAAGTTATTAATATGCATAAATCACCAAGTCTTATGCTTATTGTGAAGCCCTAGTGGGTTTTCAAGCCTTCATTAAGCCTTTTCTAACTTGAGCTGAGCATCAGAAAGGCTTTCAAGCAACCAGTTTGTTGTTCCTTCTTGCACAGATTTTTTATCCTTTGAGAATAAAAGACTGATGAAAAAGGTTTGGAGGAGCTTGGTAGAAAAATCATTACCAACTGTGATAATCTTACGCTTGGGGGGGTTGAAATATTAACCATGTTTCATTCGATAAAGTAAGAAAATTGTTTTATAAATGAATCTGCATTTAAAATAATGCACATCAGATAAAAGCAGGGCTCTTCATCCCCCTCCCTCCCTTTCAGAATACACAAGAACACACTTCTTTGTTGTGCAAATGGAGGTGTTGGGCTTTTATTCAGCAGCACTTAGCACATGGCGCAGGTGCGCTTGGATGAGTCATAACTCAGAGCTGTGCAGGGTGAATAGAATGGGCGGCCGCTGCCGCTGCCACCACTCCAGGCAGGAGCAAAGCCACTGTAGGGCCTCCCCAGTGTCTGCTCTGAACGGAAGCTAGAGCTGCAGCTCAGTCATATGCTGCTTCTCACAAGACTCTGTGCTCCTCTTGTCCCTCCTCAGCTGCTCTTCCTCCTCCTCCTCTCTCCCCATCCCAGATGCAAGTTGCTGCAATTTACCTGGAAGCCAAGCTTAATGCTGGACGCCCCCAGAAAGCTTTTGCCTGAATCAGCATCTGGCACGACAGGCTCCCTGATAAACTCAGGAGCGGAGGAGGGCCAAAACCATTATCCCTAAGTAGAGGAACTGTCTGTTCCCAAGAGAAAGCTACACTGATCTATATTTTATGATTTTTTTAAACTACTACATTTGAATGACATGGACCATGTTGTAACTTGGAAAAAAATCTAGATAGTTAACACCTGAACAAATAGTCATTCTGTTAACATTGCATGCATATGTACATAAACATAGATGACTTTTTCTGCCATTGTTTAAAAGATATTTAAGCTCCATTAGTTACTAGCCCTGATTTAGCCTAGGTTAAAGTAAATTCTTGTGTTAAGTTATACTTTGTTTTTGGATACTGGATAGTTACAGCCATCTCTGCATATACAAATAACCCTAAGGCTGTCCGTGGCACGTGTGAAACTAATGCATAAGTAGAATTAAGTCCAGTGCTGAAGGGCCTCGTGATCCAGTCTCAGTAACCATGGGGAAATAATCCCTACTCCTTTATGAAATGCTAAATGTGGGATGCCTTGGTTGAGCCATGGACTGATCTCTGATTGGGGAAGGAGCAGAACAGAGAAGGATTGGTTGCTGGAACATCTCATCAGCAGTGGAGTACAGTCCCAAAGTGTTCTGCTCCTTTGCCCAGATACCTGTCAGAATGCGTTTAATACAGTGCTGGAAAACTCTACGTTCTCCTTTTCTGCTGAGTTGATGTTTGAAAGAACATGGGGTGCTTTGAATAAAAAAGACTCGCTTAAGCAAACTGAGCTAATGAGGGATGGGCATGAGAAAATTCCTAGCCATATTTGTTTCCAAATGCAAGCTCTGCATAATGCAAAGTGAATTTGACATATAAAAACGGGGAGGGGGTGATCAAGCTGTATATTTTTAGAAAGAATTCCCCTTTCACATATGCAGTGCTAGAACCAGGATCATCCAGCAAAGCTGAATTTGTTACGGGAAGCGCTGCTGTGTCACTCCTCAGTATATTCTCTTGTGTAGATTGTGCCTTAAACTAACTACTAAACATGAATTCATCTTTTTTTTCTGTTGGAGAAGTACTTACTGTTCAGAAAAGGACTAGGGCATTTTATCAGCTGATGGAGATAATAGGTATTAAAGAGAGGTTTCTAAAGATTTGGCTTGATTGCTTTCTTCCCATACAGTTGTTCTTATTCTGTGATAAGTGGTACTAAAATATAAAAATAATTATTTCCTTTCTCCCATTTCTGTCTTGGTTTTGCAGAAACATGTCCTTCTTCCTGAAGAACAGGAAGTATACACCATAATTCAGTAAAATATTATGGGACATTTAATCTGTTCCTTGGATCACTTAGTGTGCAGATCTGTTAAGGGTGGTTTAAAATCCTCTGAAGCATTTGGGTTAGTGATGCTATTGCCTTTTAGATCTTCTCCTTAAACCAGTTGTATTTGTGGCTCTCCACATTACATGCTGTAAAGCTCCATACAGGACAAGTTTCTAAAGCAGAATCAGAGGTGGGCATTGAGGGTGATCTTCTGCTCCATGCAGGAATCCAAACATCCCCGAGAGATGGCTGTCCAACGTCTGCTTGAATGCATCCAGGGAAGGGCAGCCCAGCTCTCTTGGTGTGATCCAAGCAGCTCCACTGCCGGATGGCTCACTTGCTAGGAAGGGTTTTCAGCATTCATTCAGGTAATGCTGTGTGCCAAGACCTCTTGCTATATAAGTTAGTAATATAATGTGCCAAGGGCATTAAAAGTATTCTTATTATGGAATAGGTTTAGATTATACAGCCATCTACAGGAAACAGTTCAAACTGCATCTTCCTGTGATGTGCTGAGTTGTATCTTGATCTGGATTGGTGAAATGTTTATTAAAGGAATTGAGTTAGATTATAGGAGAGCTCTATTTCCTTTTACATTTTTAGATTTAGTTTTCATCGTATACATGGATATGGTTGTATTTTGATGTTGCAATATGATATAATGAATATTAACAGTATATTAGCAGATGGGTAGAATTTGAAGTGCCTCTGTGCAAAATGCCATCTCCTGTTCCAGAGCTAAGGAGCACTTGGCTCAGTGTTCCTTTGGTACCACACATGCTAGAATATTGGCTGCTAGACAGGGTCTGAAAGCTGAGCTTCAACTCCTGTGCTTAGAAAAAAGTTGGCATTTGTGGAAATCACACATCTGTATATCCACCAGATGATGTTGCAGAAAAACTGAAGGACATTTTCATTTATGCCAGATGCTAACAAAAGTGCATTCAAAAACCTGAGTGTCCTTCAGGAAGATTTTGATTATCTCTTCTTATTGAGAGTTGGGTAATTGAGGGCCTAGGGGGACTTGTGGCCCCCAAATCCAATTCTTACAACTCCTGGAACCACCTCCTAGTAATCATTGTCTCAGAAAATGGTATCATGGTTTCCTGACATTTTGAGGTGAGGTGAGAAACACCCAAAAAATATAGGCTATAAAATAGTCTTAACATTTTATAAAAGAAACACGCATATGTGTGTTTTCTCTGATACCAGACCCCCGAAATTTTACACTGTTTGTGGATTTATGTCTTGCCTTCTTCCAGGAGCTCAAGGCACATATAGCATTCCCCCCCAGTTTTCCCTAGCAATAATAACTTGGTGAAGTAGGTTTTGCTGGGAGACAAGGACTGGCCCAACGTTGTGAGCTTCCTTAGCTGAGGATCTGTTCAGTTCCAGTTTCCCATCTTAACTATTGCCCTCTACTGGTGTGCAGCACATAAGCTGTTCATTTGTGGGACAGAGTGTAAGTGCTGGCGCACATTGGAGTAGATCTGTGGGCTCCTTTGGAGACCATACTTTGTATGGGTTCCAACATGTCTGAACCAGAGATTTTCAGCTCTTCTCAGGACAAAGTAGACAAAAAACTTAGAGTGCCTCAAGGACCCTCTATCTTTAGGAACGTGTTTATTTCCCATAAGCTGCCCTTTTTCAGCCTGTGGAAATCCTTGCTAGTGGGCAATTCAAGACTTGTAGTTCCACACCCATGGATACCTGTTAACATCCAGAACCCTATCCATTGTTTTCAGTAGAGCTGGAGACAAAGAGTGAATGGAGTTTCTCCATAATCTTCTTACCTTAGTCAAGCTTTTCCTTGTTTGGCATCGCAGTATGTCCATTGTTGCTCTCTTTATGAGGAACACAAGGAGAGCCCTATGCTGTCTCCGTCACGATGGGAGCAAATGCAGAATTGCGAACTTGTGAAGAGGAGACACCAGAGTTGAGGAAGGTTTTTCCTCCTGGTGCATTGTCTCCAGTAGCGGTTGCCATCTTCTCTGACTTGGCTCAAGCGTATGGGAGCTTCGCATGCCAAACAACTCTTGAGGTATTTCCATGGTAATGGAAGGGGAGGGGGATCACCCCTTTTGCATGCATATCATGACATCGCACATGTGCGTAAGGCCACAGTGCTTGCTTTATCGTTACTGAGACTGCACATTCTGCAGACTCCTCTGAAGGTGCCCTTTATTCTTAACGGCGGTGGCTGGCTAAACCTGGCTCCCTTATCTGCTAAAGGTGTTCCGGAAACAGGCGAAGACCTTTTATTTTACAAAAGCATTATATGTGCTTTTTTAAC